TTTGACCAAATCAATTCTTTTACGCATGCTGGTACACATGCTCGTGAAGGCCTTTACTCCAATCAGCTCGGCTTTACAGAAAAAGGTTAAGCCTAAATATAGACCTGACATTAGTTGTCATAGCACATCGTGTCAAAGGGCAAACTTTTGACCATGACGTATACGACCACTCAATGCTCAATTTCATCCATTGTGACCAATAATGCATGTAATTATTTGAAATTGAAAAGACAATAACACAATAAAGTTGAATGCATAGTAGTCCGTCATTAATACAACAATACAAAGTAGGTTTACAAAATATCAATTATTACATGCAAAATAAGTAGAAGCCCGTTTAAGAACATAATCATAGTTTACTCTACCCAACCTTACTTAAAAAACAAAAGAATAATAAGAAAACAAACAATGCACCAAAACGTAGATTTCATATATTTGAGCTTCTTCTCCAAAATCTGAGCATTACGGACAGCATCATCGAGTCTCAGCTGTAGTTCTACAGTTTTTGTTGCTTCAATCTCCAAATTGAGGCCCAAAACTTTATTCTCATTTTCCAACGCTTTCTTCTCGGAAGATTTTAAGTCTACCCGCTCTGTTAGCAGTTTCTCCATTACATTTTTGCACAACATTTGCTCCTGCAACCGGTCCTTTTCAGCCTTAAGCTTGTTAAAACAAACCTTTTGGAACGGCGGCAACTCGGGATCAATCCATACAAAAAGGTTACAAGCCTTGTCAGCCTACAAATTTGAATGAACCAACAACAAAGGTGAATCACTCAAACAAAACAGCAGTAACTGAAACTCAAATAACATTGCGACAAAGTCAGATAAAAATTTACCTTTCGGCGAGGACATTTGCAGAACCTTCGAGCTGGGTTATCAGTCGTCATTGATGTGAACACATCGGCTGCGTCGCCACAGTCACATAGCCTAACGTCAAATGGACTACTAGAGGATCGGCTATATCGATTGCTTGAACTCGTGTGAGAAGTATTTGACATATGTCTTGGCTGAAAATGTGAAAATTAATAATGTACGAGTCATTTCTCTCAAGCAAAGTGTGTTAAAATTAATAAGGTACCGGGAAGAATCAAGCAAAGTGTGTTAAAATAAAGAACAGTGTCAGTTAAGAGGCAAATTCAAATGTGCAACTGCATTCATACAGCTTTTGCCAACAATTTATGTCAGCCAAAACATATGTAGGTACAGCTTTTGCCCAACAAATTTGTCATTCCTGTAAAATTTCTGAAATCTAAGAATCATACTTGTGCCCAACATTCCAATTTGGAAGTGATACAGCTTTTGTTGTGTACATACAAGAAGGCTGCCCAAAATTTAGTACAAAGTAGGTTTACTCATGTCAAAGATAATAAATTCATGGCAAAGATTAACCATGAAGACAATCTATTCCAAATGGCTGTAAATACAACTGAAATGAACTCAAACAGGTTTACTCCAAATTCGGCCAGCCACTTCAGTACAAATTGCCATGGTGCAAAATTGCTTCCAGGGTTCGAAAATCCAGCACATACGTACGCTTAAGGGTGGAACATAGGGTTCGAAATTGCAACCGTTTGTGTAATTTGGGGATTTCAAAATTCCTATCATCGGCCAGTATAAACTAGGGTTTCGAAATTGCTCACGGATTGAAAAAAAAAAAGAAATACGGACTAACAATCTCAAATCCGGCCACAGATAAATAAATAATTTGAAAAAAGGGTGGAACATAGGGTTCGAAATTGCAACCGTTTGTGTAATTTGGGGATTTCAAAATTCCTATCATCGGCCAGTATAAACTAGGGTTTCGAAATTGCTCACGGATTGAAAAAAAAATAAGAAATACGGACTAACAATCTCAAATCCGGCCACAGATAAATAAATAATTTGAAAAAAGGAGAGGAAAATCAAACCCGTCGTTCTTCAAAAATCGCAGAAATCAAACAGCTTCGATGTCCAGAAGAAAACAAACAACTTCGATGAAAGAGAGCAGACAATCGGTTACCTTTTTTCGTGAATCTGGTATGTTCTTCGCACGGTCTTCACTCCGTCGTTCTTCAACAATCGCGCACGGTTTTGAAGATGAAGAAGGCTAAAGCACGGTTCTGAAGAATAGAAATGAGAGATCGATTTTGATACATACAGACATGAGGGCAAATTTGTCTTTGGATTGTGTAATTTGCCAATTAATCCCTTGAAGTAAATATGGGATACAAATATGCAAATCTCATTCTACAATGTAAACAAGGGACTGATTGCTGACATGTAAAGTTAAGTTGGATAACTTATATTTATCCCATCCCACAAAATAAATAACCCCTTATGTAGTTATGTTTATTACAACATTAACGACCCAAATTTCAGTAGGGGCAATATAACCAACCATTTTTTAACGGCGTTAAACATAACGAAGCGATTTAAAAAATTGCCTCTTTGACTATTCGACACAAACGATCGTGGCTTAACTGAATCCACGATCACTCTAATAAGCTTCTCCTCCACCACTCGTTCGCCGGCGACGAAGAAAACTCCACACTCAGTCAAAAATGGAGTCATCTACTTTTCCAATCAAACGACTTTTATCACTGTTCATACTTCAAATGATTCTCTATAAATTCTCTAAATTAAAATCTCCAGAGTGAATCATCAAACTCTTATAAATCAAGAAAAAAAAAAAGAAAAACAAATGGGCATGATTTTAGGCAAAATCGGCGTTGAGACCCCGAAACACGAAATCATCGCCGCCGCCGCGGGCTACGAGATCCGGAAATACCCGCCGGCGGTGGTCGCCGAGGTGACCTACGACCCCGCCCAGTTCACTTCCGAGAAGGACGGCGCCTTCAAGATCCTCGCCGACTACATCGGCGCCTTCGGCGAGCCGCGGAACGCTCGGCCGGAGAGGATCGCGATGACGGCACCGGTCCTCACGGCGGCGGCGCCGGCGCCGGAGCGAATCGCGATGACGGCGCCGGTGGTGACCGCCGCGGGAAGCGGGGGGATGGTGACGATGGGGTTCATACTGCCGGCGAAGTACGCGCGTGCGGCGGACGCGCCGCTGCCGGTGGACGGGAGGGTGGCGCTGAGGGATGAAGGGGAGCGGAAGTACGGCGTGGTGAGGTTCGGCGGGTCGGCGCGTGAGGAGGTGGTGGAGGAGAAGGCGAGTGGACTGAGGGAGTGTTTGGAGAGGGACGGGTACAGGGCGGCCGGGGATTTTGTGCTGGCGAGGTATAATCCGCCGTGGATAACGCTGCCTCCGTTTAGGACCAACGAGGTCATGATTCCGGTGGAGTGATTTTTATTTTTATGCTTTTGCAAGCGGTGTATTGTATTTTTTTTTTTCCCTTTTAGGTTCATGTTTATGTATTACAATTTGTTTTGCATTCAATCTAATGGCTATTCACTTCTAAAGAGTGATTTCAAATTTTCGATATGATGTTAGCTCGACTCGACTAATTGCTTGAGCTTGCTTAAACCTCGTTCGAGAACATTAGTTTTTTATTACTATTTTAAAACTTAGCTCATGCTTGTTGAGAGTCGAGTTCGACTCATCAAATCTCAACTCCGATTTGTTAACAACTTAACATTGATATCAGAGTCGAACCAAAGCTTGTTTATTTAACTCGTTTAGTTAACGAGCCCTTCTCAGCCCCAGCTCGTTAAGTGTCAAGTTCAACTCGTTCAAAGCTCAAGTTCGACACTCGAGCTTGTTTATTGAATTATTTAGTTAACGCACCAACTCAACTCGGCTCGACTCGACTCGTTTATACATCGAATTAGACAAAACAAATTAATGTCTTTCATTAGATTTTTCATACGAAAGTGATGAACCAAATTTCAAGTGATCTTAAAGGTGAATTAGTTCATCTTCAAGAATTGGTCCATTGAGTTTCCTCTTACACATAACAAGCAAAATCTTCAGAAATGAACCAAAATGCTATGTTGAAGAAAAAATGAACCAAACAATATTAGAGATAAAAAATGAAACAAATTATGGAAACAATAAATTGAATAAATCTGTAGTCAAAATGTGGGTATATCTGCACAGTAAAAAAAAAAAATCCCATGCTGCCCTTTTAACAAACCAGCTTTCTCAGATCACAAACCTCTGTTCTGTGTGTATATATATATAAATATATATCCTCACCCGTCATAGACCATAACATGGATTACATACGCAGAGTCGACTAACGGTTAGACCCGCTTCATGAATGTACCTACTCGAATGTGTGTCCTTTTTCCTCTTGCTATGGCCTGCAAAGGTCGAAAAATTCGTCGTGTACTATACAGAAGCCTTAGTTTTTTTGTTTCATTTTCCTCTTCTCCCGACTTCACGCTATCAACTAAACGAAAAACGAAAAGCCCGTCATTATGAATCGACCCTCCGATCATCTGTTTGCTGTTGCTTGTTGTTCTGTTCTTCCGACCGGTTGCAAACACATCCCGGTAAAGGATTCGCGTAGAAATTCTCCTCAAGCCTCGGAATTTTCCCCGGCCGTCTTAAGTAAGGCGCCCCTATCCTATCCGAATGCAGCCTCTTTACCTCGGACGCGAAAGCCTCCCACGTAATCTTTCCCGAGTCAAAAGAATCGATAATCCTAACGAAATTAAACCTAAAAAACAAGAAAAACGGAACTTTATTCTCATAGAAAAAAGGCCCCTGGTTATCAAGTGTCGGCCTTTTGGGAGTCTCGAAAAAAAAAAAAAAAAAATTACCTGTCGGGGTTTATGGTCCGTTTAAACCCTTCGAACCTCCGGTGGCCCTGCACAGCTTTAGCCATGTTCCCGTCGTAAGTATATACAAAAGCATCGCTCTCTAGAGCTATGATGTAGTCTAATGCTGCTAGCCGGTTTTGGTACCGGTCGAAGGGTTTTAGCTCGTCGGCTGTGGCTAGAGTCGAGTGGGAAAACGCGTTCGGGTACACGGATTTCAAGGCACCCATGCTGTTTTTGCCGTAAATTTCGCCGGCCACAATGTATATACGAGTCGACGAAGGGTAACCCATTGCCTTGAGAAACAAGGCAGCCTCGCGTGGCGACATGGGGCAACCGCCCTCGAGCCGCCTCGCCTTGCTGTCGATGTCCTTCTCTTTCCAATGCTTCACTTTGTGCCTCATTAAACGAAGTTCGTTGGCCTCGGGCTCGGTTAGGTTGTGGTTGCAACCTGTGAACGCCAACATGTCCTTCTCGTACCTAAAATCGATCAAAATTGGTAAGCAGTCATAACCAATTAAAATCGATCAAAGTTGGATTCTGAGTGGGGTGAGCTATTTTGAATAAAATTGATTATAATCAGTTAAAATCGATCAAAATTGGATTCTAAGTTGGAGTTACTTATTTTGAATAAAGTTGATTGAATAGGGGAGCGATGATAATTAAATAATATTTAAAATATATTAATTAAAGTTGAACAGACTAAAAGTCGGAGAGAAATATGGGAATGGTGGATAGTTAGTTAATAATATGTGAGTGGATAAATACTGAATTGTGATGCAATAAAAAAATGATTGATATTATTTAATTATATTGATAATATTGAGGATATTGGGTTTCCGTTAGAGTTTGAGTTAAAATGCGGAAAAAGAAAAACAAAAAATGATACAACTGAAACTAATTTTGATCAGTTTTAACTCCTTACCAATAACCCTCTAAACTAAGTACTGAATTTGAAATTATCGATCTCGATTGGTTTAAAATTCGGCGTGCAATGAAGTTTGCTACCTCAAGTGAAGGGCGATGTAAGGTTCGCCCGAGTCTCTGAGGCGCTCGACAAGTTTCTTGCCAAGGGACTCGATTTCGGGCGTGTAGCGAAGGGCCTCGTAATTCGCGCGGCACCTCAATTTTTGTATGGACGAAGAAAGGCCGTTGTTGGCTAGTCGAGAGTCGGTGTGTGTGAACTTGATAACCTTGTGATTCTTTAGCAAAGGGAGAATCTCTCTTCTGTAGTAACTAGCCTATTTCAGCAAAAAAAAAAAAAAAAAAAAGATTTACTTTAAGTAATTTTGTGAAAAAAAAAAAAAAAAATATTGTAGTTCTTCTTGATGAAAATACAGTACCTTAGACCACGAAACCGGCGCTTTCATCAGCGGTTTAATCGACGCGTATTTCTTAGGCAACGTGTCGACTATCTCTATGTCGTCTTTCAAGACTTCGATGAAATGTCTCCAGTCGAAAATATCCTTAAAATCGCTATGGTTAAAAGGAAAAAGAAAAAAATCAAAACTTGAGATCAAATTTCGAATGTGCGAAAAAATTAGAAAAATTACGATTCTCATTTACCTAGGATCGGTCCAAAAGCTCTTGTGATCAAGTGTAGGAAGAACAAGAGATGCATTCATAATCTTGGCTATAGCAACCATGTCACATATCTAGGAACATCATGTTAATTAGAAAAAACAAAAAAAACAAACAAACATTTAAGGATTAAAGGTTAAAAATGAAATTGATCATAACAAAATATAAGAATGAAATTCGACTTACTCCGGTTCTCATCTGATTCAATCCTCCATTTGCGTGAATCAATATGTATCCGTTCGTAGCCTTCGTATTCCCTGAAAGTGTTCGAAAAAAAAAAAAAAAAATTGCGATTCGAATAATGATTCTTAGCAGAGATTCTTAATGCAAAGATTTAAGTGCCCAAAAGAAAGAGATAAACAAAAAAGATGATGAGTCATTAGTTTATCATACTCTTGTGATTCTTTGCATTGGCTATGCATTGGTAAAAGTTATCACTGTTGGGCTTCATCCATATTTCTGGGACCTGTGAAAATAACAAAAAAAAAAAATTGCATCTTTAGCATTAGCACTAACTTATTTCATAGAGATATGATATAATTTTGCTGCTATATTTACATTTCATCAAATTTTTGTGTGAGATGCATTGTTATTCAGGTCGATTGTCATATTTTTATAATAAAAATGCATAATTATATTATGAAATATGTATGTTAATTTTAAGATTATGATATATTTGTTGAAAATTTACTGACTTACCTTAACATTAGCCTTATTTTTACATTTTAGCAGCTAAAAAACAATTTTATTCAATTTTTTTTTTTTTTTACTCCGGGAGTAAACAGAACCTTAAGCTAATATTTCCATTAGTTATTTTATTTTTTATTTTTAGGAAAATAATGAGCTCAACGGTCAAAAAGTCAGTACAATCCCACTTTTTACCACATAAGACAATAATGAAAAATAATAAGGGAGATTAGTGGTGTCCCACTAATCTCTCTCGTGGGTCAATGATCAGCATAAAGAAAAAAAAAAAAAAACATTCATTCAATTAAATCTCAATTAACTAATTAAATTCGAGCTGAAATATATTCATTTTACACTTAATAAATTCTTGTGTGCGGCAATTTATAAGTATAAAAATGCATAATTATGTTATGAAATGTTTGTCGTGTATAGTATTATTGGTTGAAAAATTTTGTTTATCTTGAAGTGTTCGAACTGTCTGACTAACTATTCGATTTGCCTTATTGTGAGACTTAGTCTATTTGTTCGAGTCTCCGTGTTCGAGCTATCTGTCTTAAATATTATTCGACTTGCCTAATTGGGAGATTATGTCTAAATGTTAGATTTGCCTAAAAAGAGTTTTTGGACTGTGTTTTGAATAATGAAATGCTATGAACATATAGGAAGATGCTATGGTCTTTACGGAACCATTAAGTTTGTAATTGTTAGATTATTATTTAATGGTTACAAATCCAGACAGATTGGAACCGAAGCATTTCCCGAACATATATTGGTGAGTTTAAAAGAAACACATACGTCGGCCAAAAACAAACATGGAATTGTCCAGTTATTACCAGACTTTTATTAAACTCCGCGTAATAATTAGGATCAATAATAAATTGACCATGACTTACAAAAAAAATAAAAAATAAAATGGAAAAGGAAAAAAAAAAAAAAAATTCCAATCCAGCTCTTTCTAGTAAAAATTCAATCAATTTAACCAAAGCTTTGTCAAGCTAAATTTGAACAAAAGAAATAAAATAAAATAAAATAAAATAAAGACTTCACTTTTATTTTCATTTACGAGAGGGATTATATAATTATATTAGATTATATTATATTATTAATTAGCTCACCGGAAATTCCTTCATCTGTCGCTTTTGCACAGCCCCACCGGCGGCCGCTGCGGCCAGCTCGGACTCAAAAACCGCCTTATGATCATTGGAAAGCAAATCACTATTCAAATTCTGAACAAACAAAGGATCTTTCTCCGGTCCCGCGGCCTTCCCGCCGGCGCCGGCGCCTCCGATCGACAGAGATACCTTGAGAAACGCCGACACCACCGCCACAGCCACGAGGAACACGATGATCGTCCGGCCCACGCCCTTCCTCGACATCACACTCCCCCACGCGCTGATCAGGAACTCCTCCGCGCACAGGGCCCAATTTTCGGGCAGCCTCTTGCGCGACAGGAGGTACCGCATCACGGGGTGGTGCTGGTGGTGGTACGAGTACACGCCGCCGCCGCCGCCGGCGGCGAACACGAGAAGGGCGTCCTCGTCCACGTCGCTCTTTGAGTGGTCCAGCGCAACCGGCGCGTGGTCGACCGGCTTCTCCCTCTCCGGAGGGTCGGCGGCACGGCGGCGGTGGTGGGCCCCGCCGTCGACGGCAGAGGTGCAGGTGGTGCCGCCACTCGACATTGGTCGGAAAATACACATAGGAGTCGGGGAACTTTTTTTTCCGGTTAGTAAAATTGGGAGAAATTAGGGAGAGGAGAGAGAATTATGGGAGTAGAGAGAGAAAGAAGGGGAGAGCAGATGCCATGAACGGTGAGCAGTTGCTCTGTTTTTTGTTGTGTGCTCTGTTTTGTTGTGTGTGTGTGTGTGTTTTGTGAATTTTGTGCTCTATATATATTGTACGGTGGCCAATGGAAAAAAAATGGTCACATTGACTCTTGATGTATATTTTGAACAAAAATGTAATTTATACTATTCAATGTTATATATTTTTCTAATATTAATTTATAAAGTAGGATGTTTTTAATAAAAAATATGTATATTTGAACAAAGATATGACGGTTTAATAGTTAGGCGAGTCTGTTATAAGACAAACCATTTTATTTATATATTAATTTTAGTTAATTTTTGAATTTTTCTTTCTAAGACAAACCATTTTTTATTTATTTTTTGGGAATTATTTTTAATGGATATTAATCTAAGGGACAAATGAAGTAAATTT